GTGCCAGACTGGAGTGCAGTGGTGCAATCTCGGCTCACTACAATCTCCGCCTCCTGGGTTCAAGCAATTTTCCCCCCTCAACCTCCAGAGTGGCTGGGACTACAGGCGCACGCCACCATGCCCAGCTAATTTTTTTGTATTTTTTAGTACAGACAGGGTTTCCCCATGTTGGTCAGGATGGTCTCGATCTCTTGACCTCATGATCCGTGATCCGCCTGCCTCGGCCTCCCAAAGTGCTGGGATTACAGGCGTGAGCCACTGCGCCCAGCCTGCTTCTTTAACTTCTTTAAGAAATTAGTGCAGAATTAGAATCCACCTACATTGCTGAAACTTCTGTTTACATTATATACTTCATTGCATTAAATTTGCTTGAGCTCTGCTCTTCACATTTTAGCAATGTTACCTTAATTTGTTATATTTATTTTTTAAAGTCTATCACCTATTGGTACACAAGAATAAGTGCCTTCATTAATTTAAGCTATAATGTCAAATATTATTTCTGGTCTTGGAATCTAAAATTTAGAGTTTTTCTACAAAATCCAAGGTTTAGTGTGTATGTTTTTTATTAAAAATATTACATTTTTAAAAGACATCAGAAATGTTGACTCAGCAGTAATAAAATTTACAGGCCTGATTTCACAGGCCAAAGAATGCCCACAAATATTTTTAACGAGGTGCCAGCATCTAATGGGTTTTATTAGCACTAATTTGCAAATCTAATTTACAATGTTTACAATACTAAGGGACTTTATCAAATTAGGATATTAAAACTTTAGATGATCAATTGATATTTCTATTTAATTTCATAAGTTATTTACTAACTGGTCATATATTGGATAAACTTACCTATACAGGGATTAAATATGAACTGCATATGATGTTGTTTTACTTGTTGTGAAAATATTACACTCTGCTAGTAACATAAAAATTAGAATCCTAATCATTATTTAAGAGAGTTCCAAACTTTGCGGTATGTTAATTTAACCATGACATGAGAATTTTGGAGTTTGAAAGCAGTTATTCAGTGAGCTACAGAATGGCTGTATTATGTTAGGAAAGTCTAAACTTGAGTGATCAAGTGTTTCTGAATGATCCACCCTGCAAAATTCCAACATTACCTTTGTCTTTTCTACTCCAATATACCTGCTAATGCTCACTTTCAAAGTGTATCTATTTCAACTGACACCTGCACTTGGACCTAATAGTAGACCAGGTCTTTGCCACTATTTAGTCCGTTACCAAGGTGGTTACTTGGAACAACCAGCCTTCTCTACTGTGTACCACCCTTCCCAAGGGGCCATCTTCATGCACATTATGACTGATTCTGCAGAGAGAATAGAGCTGTCCTTTCTTGACTTGGTATGCTTTTTGCATTTACAATTGACTTGGAATGCTTTTTGCATTTACAAATATAAATTTCTATTATCTGCATGCAGCCCTACCTTCCTCATACCAGAATTATATGAAAGCTTTTCCTCTTCAAAACAAATTTATCCTATTTTGTTCTTGATCCTAATTTCCTCAGCTTATCTGGAATCTGAACGTGTCATAAAAATTATTGTCTCTTTCCAAATGTTCTTTAACTTTTTCATTATACTGGTCCCTTCAATGTAGACTATCACATATACTCAAGTCTTTGAAAGAATCGTAAAACCCAAACACTGCTAGACCAATACTGCCTACTCTTACAATTCTAATTTTCGCCTTTGTTTAACTTTCTTTCTTGCAAATCCCTGGGGCTTCATGTTCTCAAGTTACTAATTGTTATGTCCAATTCCTTAATTGTCATTTATTTTAACTTTACAGACACTCATAAAATGCATACTATATGCGCAGCACTATTCTAAGCATGATGTTTATATGTATTATATATGTGTATATTTTAACTCAGTCCATCTGTTTATTACCCACCTTCTGAAGCCTGTTTCTGTCAATTCGTCAGATTCATTCTCTATCCATCTTCGATCCCTAGCTGGTGAGGAGTTGTGATCTTTTAGAGGAGGAGAGATGTTCTAGTTTTTGCTGTTTTCATCCTTTTTGCGCTGGTTTCTTCCCATCTTAGTGGCTTTATCTACCTGTGGTCTTCGTAGTTGGTGACTTTCTAATGGAGTCTCTGGGTGGACATTCTTTTTGTTGATGATGAAGTTATTTCTTTCTGTTTCTTAATGTTCCTTCTAACAGTAAGGCCGCTCTGCTGCAGAACTGCTGGAGGTCCACTCCAGACCCTGCTTGCCTGGTGATCACCTATGGGGGCTACAGAACAGTAAGGGTTGCTGCCGGTTTCTTCTTCTATTATCTTTGCAACAGAAGGATACCTGCCAGATGTCGGCCTGAGCTCTCCTTTATGAGTTGTCTCTGGATATACAAGGGTCGGGGAGTTGCTTGAGGAGACAGTATGTCCCTTATAGGAGCTCAACTGCTGTGCTGGGAGCTCCGTTGTTCCCTGCAGAGATGCTGGTCAGGTGCTTTTAAGGCTGCTGCAGTGGAACTCATAACTGCCTCTTTTCCCAGGTGCTCTGACCTAGGAAGGCTGGCTTCATTTATAAGTTCCTGTCTTGCTGCTGCCTTTTTTCATAGATGCCCTGCCCCGCGTGGAGTAGTCTAGTCAGAGTCTGCCAGCAGAGGTGCTCTGCCCAGCTGCTGTGTGAACTGCGTCGGTGGTGGCAGACTACCATGGTAATGGGGACACCCTTCCCCCTACACTGAGCTGGACCATCCTGGGTCCAGCTGTGCTTGCTGTGAAACTCTCAATCCAGAGCGTCTCAGATTGCTTGTTTTGTGGAGGTGGTACCCAACAAGCCAGATCCCCTGGCTCCCTGTCTCAGCCCCCTCTCTTTTAGTTGAATGGGCCGCTCTGTCTCCCAAGCATTCCAGGTGCCAGTTGAAACAGCTGCCCAGATTGTGTGAGTTTCTGTGTGCTAAGCCACCACCAGCTGGAACTGCTGTGCTGAAAACTCAGGGTGCTTTTAGGCCCAGGAATCTCCTGGTCTGTGGGCAGTGAAAATTTGTTTGGAAATGCGGTGGACACTCATCCTCTGCATTTTTCTTGCTGAGAACTGCACTCCGGAGCTGTTCCTATTTGGCCATCCTGGATACTTCCCCCTCTTCCCCTCATTTTCTTACTCTGCTTGGGTTCTTGCTGCAATATTCTACTGCTCTTTATTTTTATACCTTTTCAGCACCATGGATACTTCATGTCCTTGTGGTCTTACTCTAAATGATCACATATGTTCAATTGCCAAGGACAGACAGAGATTGAGAATACGGCATGCTGTGTTCTCCCCCTTCCCAGGCATTGCCTTAAGGCCAGCTGGATTTGTGGCCGTATACTTACATAATTCTGATTTAATTTTTCTTGTGGGAAATTATGCAAGTTCAGGAGCTCTACATTCTTTTACTGAAATAATTATTTTCAAATCCCTAAAAGCACTTACATAATTCAATGGAAGTAAAACATTCATTGCAGAGCTAGTAAGATGTCCACCACTAAATTTTTTAAATTGAGGTTTAATTTTTTTCTTAATATGCTTCTTCTTCTGTAAAGGGAAATGACATTTATATTTAGAATCACGAAGCAAGAAACTATTCCCAATACTTATACGCTAAGCTGGAAAAGAACTAGAAATATATGCTTTGTCTGTTTTCTTAGGTATATTATTGCAGTTAGACTTCTGATAGTTTTTTTTAATGTTATCATTATGGTTGGGAGTCTGCTCAATGTGTTGAATTTCTTTAGAAGACCAGCTCCCATCTGCAAGGAAATTATATTGTGTCATGGCTGAGCATGCAGAAATTATTTTTCAGAAAAGGTAGGAAGGTAGGGTAGGGGAAGAGAGAGAGATATAAAAAGTAAAGAATTCAAATCTCCAGTATCAAAACAGGGACAGGAATAGCTTGTGGACATCTCACTAGAACACAATGTCTTATTGATAATTTTTATGAACTCACTTAGTTCACCTTCCAGAATCAGTCATATTAGTTGCTACCCAGCCCTTTCTTAGTTTTATTTTACTTTTCTAAAATATATATTTTATCATCAGAAAGACTTAAACACTTCTATATCCCATATTTCAAAAGATGCTATTTACTTAAAATTATTTTTAAATCCTTGTGACAGCTGAATACATTTTTCTTCAATCGAAAGTGTTAACAGTAAATAGATAAAAATGGCCAAAACATTATTATTAAATTATATCACTTTTCCTTTTCATTGTTTTTTATTAATTTTTATCCTAGAGAAACAAAACAAATAAACAAAAAAATGGCTCTCACAAATTATATCCCAATCCCTTTTCTTTTTCATTCTTGAAAATCTTTGAGTCCCACTTCCGTATCCTTTCTAAATCTGGAATTTCCTTTTTCTACCTGGACTTTCAGATTGATGTATTAGCATTTAAGAGTGATATCACAAAGACTGTACAATGTAAGTGAAGGCTTAGGTGAAATCAAGGTGGTATGTCATTTGACGTCTAAAATAGAGATGCCAAATATGTAGCTTAGTAAACTTTGCTATTCTCTGGCAATACTACCTCTGTGTGCTTGCATTGCTTTTAACAAAGTGCCTCCTTTTTAATCTACTGCAAATTTCCTAGAAGGCAGCAAGCCCCACTTCTGATTAATAACTTTACTACTGTCTTTATGATGCATTCGAAAGTTCAAGTAATCGGTTTATATATGCAAGAAGATTATGTTTTGATCTGACATATGATTACAGAAAGAGCTAAATTCCAAAGGTAAGCATAATAATCTACAAAACATATTATCATGAATTTATGTATTTAGCAATATCCTTAGGGTTATTTGTGCAAGATTCCACCTGAGAATACTTTCTTCATGGGAGTAATGGATTTTCTGTGAGCACATATATGCTAAAGCTACAGTAAAATTACTTTTATCTTGATTTATTATGTCCACAAAAAATGATATTTCTATCTGCTTAATTCCTAATACTGTTGGCTTCTTATATTAATTAGTAATCATTTTTATTTTTCTTACTTTAGATGATACTTTGGCTACATGACTGACCCTTCGAAGTTTAAAAGTGGAATAGAAAACATAAAGACTGCATTTTCTGATTGTCACCCTGGCTCTGTTATTCTCTGTTCTACGGCATTGCTAGCCTCCTAGCTTAACTATGTGTAGATTATGAGTGTCAAGTAATATTGCTCTTCTATGCAAATATTTTCCTAATTTTAGATAACCTAAGCATTTCAAGTTATAATCAATTATTGAGAGTTTTTCTATCGTATGTTTAATGATTTATATTGTTGTTTCAATAATTAGCTTTATTGTTATGATTTTATCATTTCTAGCCTATATTATATAGGGTACCATGGTTCTTTCATTTTTAAATTATTATAGCCTCTTTATCAGATTGGAAATGCAAATATCCTATACAATGTCATATGACATATCATGTTTTTACAAGATTTGAATAATTTTAAACCTGTTTATATTTTGCTTTATAAGAAGAATACACTTGAATGTGTTTGGTTGCATATATGTATAACGTTTAACCAATGTGTAACTGTGGCTTTCATTCCTCTACCTTCCTATTTGATAGCAGGATACTGAACTCAGCCAACACAGAGCTGATTCTGGAAGTTATGTCCATCTGTACTGCCAAATATGAACATAAAGCTCATCATATGCTTATAAAATTATCCTATTAAGAATCATAAAATATTTATACAGGAAGGCCTAAAAAATGAGTTGCATGCTAAGAATTAAGCCTGGTAACCAAGTAATCTTTGCTGTGCATTTGATCCCTGCAATAGGTAAGAGGTGAGCCTGCAGCAAGATATCTCAACATGTAACAATGCCACTTGGTAGCAGACGTTTAAAAATAGCCAGCCTTAGTTAACTTCTTTCATATGCTGTCCACTGCACTTGGTAGGTTTCATGGGGCGGTGTTATTATCACTATTATGTAAAAGAGAAAATAAAGGTTCTTAGATGTTCTGGAACTTGTTCAGTTTCAGATGATTGGAACATTGTGGTCTTGTCTTTCAAGTACATGTCTACCAGATTCCACAGACCCTTTTCTGTCCACTTTGTCACCTACAACTCTGAGCTCCAATATAAAGACTTCACCATATTTGAAAGAGTATAGTGGATAGTCTGATGCTCAATTTTGCGTTCAAAAGAGTTGCCACTGTGACATTATAACTGCTGAAATAAATAAATCTCCTTTTGATTCAGGGTGTTATTTAATTATTACAAATCTCCTGTCATAGATCTGATACTTAAGTTAAAAAATTAGGCTCAGGTCCTTAGCTATGGTTTTGCCCTTTACAGTACTTTTAAACCTACAAAATTTGCATTCAACATTTACACATACAAAATTCATATAGTCTTTCAAAACTAAGATTGCATAAAAATCTTATGGCTTGAAATTTTAAGTATTACAATATAAACAGCAGAGACTTCATGTTTATGATAATTTTTAATAAATGGCATCAACTTTTACATTATTATTCCATGGTGTTTTGTATTAATTTACATCATGTTTATTTTTATTTTTGAAATTTCACACTGCATATCATTTTTATATATTGTTTGTTTAAAGTAAGGTTTTAACAAAGGAAGTTGCATAAAATAAGATTTTTTAAATAGAACTTAGCAGAAAATATTAATCACATTCAGTTTAAAATCAATTTATATGTTTTCTTACAGAAAAAAAAAACTGTTTTTTTCAACAGAGAAATTTTTAATTGTTATTAATAGAAAGTATAAATAACTTTAATATTTAAAGCATTTTTAACATTTTTTAAAAAACATAAGCCAGTGATTGGCTTGCTTATTTCAAATCTGACCCGTTGATCTACTTACTTGAATAATATGATAGTAAAATACATACCAACATTTTTTGGCACTGGCCAGACACAAATCCTATCTTGACTTCCCTATGGCAAAGAGTAACTTATTATTTTCAATGCTAATGTGAAGTCCTTGTTAATGTTATCAGCACACACACACATAAACACACCAAGAAAACACAAAAAACATAACAAAATAAACCCTATATGTTTGAAAAACTTATTTTTAAGCCACTATTTTATACTCACTTCCGCTTGGAAATGTCAAAATGTATTATGGTTATTTGTAAACTAAAACCAAGGGTTGCATCTAGCTTCTTATAAGCTGCACAGTGTTATTTTTAGCACTCTTACTGGTGTTGTTAAGACATTCTTAACTTCAGTTTTCTTCCTCCATCAAATAAATAATGAAAATATGAGGGATGGTGTTATATTTGCATTACATGGAACTATTCTAAAGGTCATATCTTAAAAAAAACAAATCTTACAGAATCACAGTCTTTGTGTTCATCGACTCTAAATGATAATAATAAAAAACACTAACGATTACTCCAATACTATCTTAATCGTATCAATAATCTCTACTAAATTTAGAACCTACAGTAAGCATAGATTTGAGAGTTCACACTTGGTATATTACTTACAAGATGTGTGACTTTGGGGAAGGTGTTACTTTTAGCATCTGCTTCATTATCTACAATGTGAATATCACATCTATATCAAATTATTTTGATAATGAAATGGGTAAAATATATAATATTTTGCATAATTGCTAGGACATTTTATTAACTCAAAACACTTTTCTTTGTCATTATTTTGAAGACAAAAACTTCTCTTACATCTCAGTCAAGAACTGGTAAAAATATTTGATTGCTTTATGGGATTATGATGAATAATGTTCTAAAAGGTTTTTACTTTAAAACTATGCCATACATATATATTTTAAAGTGTCCATGATCTCTTACTAAATTTAATTCTATATTTATAAAATGGTATTTTAATTTTAAAATCAACTGCCTATGACTATTTAGCCAAATCATTGACTCATTCATGTAGATTTATTTTTTAAGTCTACAGATGGAAGAATTCATATGGAGATATACATAAAATATAATAGAAGGCTTGCTTACATTACATATTTCTGAAAGATATGTAAGACTTCTGTATCTACAATAGAATCAACATTGTTGATATAAAACACTAAGGAAGTAATATCTAATTAACGTGTATTTTGTCCCCAGCTACTATGTGACCTATTAGGGCTTTTCACAGAAGAAAACCTACATATATAAAAGAAAATAATTTGAGTTTGCCAGGCTCATTCTTGCTGAATCAGCCTACTTTGTGTGATGCCAATTTCTGCTGATTTTTTTTTATTTTTTTTCTCCCTAAGGAAAAATATTGCTGAATAACATGTCAATAACATTTAACGGGAAATAACAGTCTTAACCCAAGTTTGGAAGCTGTGATTAAGAAAGATTTTTGTCACAAAAATAAATAAATAACAAGTAGAAAAAAGTAATGTGAAGTTTAAATAAATGTGCTGAAATTTCAAAATATATCTTAAGCCAAAGAGTTCATTACGAAACTACTATATGCTAGAAATACAAAAATAAATGAAACCATTCCTTGCAGAGAAAATGTTCAGGAAAGCTACACAATGAAAGTGATAACTGGTTAGCCTTTTTTGGAATGAGGAGGTGTCACAGCGAGTTTGTGCTACCATAACAGAACACTACCAGACTGAATAATTTATAAAATACAGAAATGTATGTCTCACAGTTCTAGAGGCTGGGAAGTCCAAGATCAAGGCACTGGCTAGTGAGGATCTGGTCTTTCTGTTTCCAAGATAAAACCTCATCCCCTGGAGGCAAAGAGCCTTGTTTCCTCACATGGGAGAAGGTGGAAGGATGAGAAGGTCAAAATCTCTTGCCAAGTACTTTTCTTTCTTTTTTTTTAACTTATATAAAAAATATCCTATTTTTATTTTTATTTATTTATTTTTTCTATTATACTTTAAATTCTGGAGTACATGTGCAGGATGTGCAGTTTTGTCACGTAGGTATACACGTGCGATGGTGGTTTGCTGTATCCATCACCCTGTCGTCTACATTAGGCATTTCTCCTAATGCTATCCCTCCCCTCAACCCCTTGCTATCCCTACTATACCTCCCCACCCCCAAACAGGCCCCAGTGTGTGATGTTCCATTCCTCTCCCTGTGTCCATGTGTTTTCATTGTTCAACACCCACTTATGAGTGAGAACATACGGTGTTTGGTTTTCTGTTCTTATGTCAGTTTGCTGAGAATGATGGTTTCCAGCTTCATCCATGTCCCTGCAAAGGACATGAACTCATCTTTTTATGGCTGCATAGTATTCCATGGTGTATATGTGCCATTCAAGTACTTTTTATAAGGGTACTTTATCCCGTATGAGAAGCCCTCATAGCTTAATCACTGCCTAAAGTCTTCACCTCTTAATATTATCACTTTGGAAGTACCTGAACTTTGGAGTAGACTAATTCAAATTATAGAAAGAGGCAATAATTAGGTGATGAATATTGGAGAAAGACATTTGAGACAGAGGAACTACATACTTTTTTTTTTAGAAAGAATGTGTAGCATTATAAAAAGACCTCAGGCTGAGAAGTCAAAGTAGGCACCTTCTTCAAAAGTTTGCTTGCTTGGTTTTCTCATCTACAAAATTGAGTTAATAATAGTTTTCTATGTGCCTATTCAGTAAGTAATAACCAATATTGTCAAAATCATATTGCATTTTAGATGCCGTGTCAGATTTTTTTTCATGTCATGCAATGTAATAATTTTGAGGTAAATGGCTAAGTGGTTTGAAGTATTTGCTGGAAACTTTGTGCCATATATTTTACTAATCAATACATTTATTTCCTAAATAACTAATTTCAAAGAGAGACAAATACTTTGAAATAAATCTGACCTGAGTTTAAGTCCTGACTTCCTCTTCGCTTGTGCGACTTGGAGAAGTGACATGTTAGGATTCAGATGCCTCATCCTAAAACTGAGGAATACTTTGGCCCACTGTCTCTTTTCAATTAACATTTATGAACTTGTATTGTATTACTGTATAGTGAAAAAATATGGATCAATTTTGTCCCAATGTGTCTATGTAAGCTTGTCTCTGACTCTAATATTCAAAACACAAATAATGAGGACATTTTATCAAAAGACTTGAAAATATGTTTCTTGTAATGACTAATTCAAAATTACTATCAATAATACCACACTACATTCTAAGCACTTATTTGAAGAATTCAAGGATTTTTCTTTAGAGTATATGAGAGATGATATAGTGGTGTATACAATAACAACTCAGCAGACACAAGACAAAATGAGAAGAGACATCACAGAAAAACCGGAAATTGC